CCGTTCATACCCGCGGAAGCTCGCCTTCACCTATCTCTCAGACCTATCGACCGAGTTCTCCACCTCGTACTCGCAGCAGCAGCTGTACAGCCCCTCTCTGCGGCCCTACGCGTTCATGGAATTCGACACCTTCATCAGCCGCACCAAGGCGACGTACGCCGACACGCGCGCCACGCAGAACCTCGACAAGCTCAACGACGAGCTGCGCGACGTCACCAAGGTCATGACCAAGAACATCGAGGACCTACTCTATAGGGGAGACAGCCTGGAGCGCATGGGCGAGATGAGCTCGAGGTTAAGGGACGACAGCAAGAAATACCGCAAGGCGGCCGTGAAGATCAATTGGGACCTGCTCTTGAAGCAATATGCGCCCATAGGCATTTTTGGCATCATCGTCCTGTTGTTTATCTGGTTCCGATTCTTCTAAATCAGGTTTAGAAATGGGCTTGATTGATGAATAGGTGGGCGAAGGGGTATGGTAGCTCGCGTCGCCCATCGTCTTTGGTTATAACGGTCAAAAGAAAAAAAGAATGGAACAGAAATGTCTTGTTCTATAATACCACTAGATACCGAGCGAACTACCCAGTATATATATGTTAGCCAATTCAATTGGAAGAATTTGTTCATAAACGAATCAATGTAGCTAATACGAATGCGAATGGGTCAATTTCGTGGTGCTCACAAGCTCAATTTCTGCTTCTCATTTTACGTGGTACATATATTTTGAGTCGCACACGCGCACAATATTCCCATATAGATTTAGGCATGTTGGCCGACCAAAACGCCTTGCTATCTCCCATCTTCCAGGCTATAATTATATATATACAAGGTCAGACCTAGACCGGGAGTCCAGACGCTTTTTCTCTCTCGTTCTGTTTTTGTTGGCAAAGGGAGGAACCACGTCGTTAAAAATCGTTATCACATCACAGGCAAATATATCCCACACGAATGTTCCGCAAGCAGGGAACTATCGGCGCACAGCCATCGCTACTTTTCATGCGCCCACACGCTTTCAAGTCTTCTCGGCGGCGTCAAGAGACAGGGGAATGGGTGAGCGCCTACATAATCGCACAGCTTGAAGACGTGGGCGCGACGTTCCCGATAATGTTGGCATGGGTCCACTCGAAGTGCTCTTGTAGCGCGGCGATGGTCTCGAACCCGCGCTCGTCTTGCATATACCGCACGCGATCCATATCGTCGTTGCCTTGCTCCTCGTAGTAGTATTCGTCGCATAGAGGGCAGAGCAGCGAGGCCTGCCACTCGCCGAGGTCGGGCGGGAGGTGGTTCGCGATGGCGACGGGTGGGAATATGATTGTCTTCTCCTCTCCCTTCAACTCCGCGTCCGTCTCTGTCCTTAACTCTCTTGTTGTTGTTGTTGTTTGCCCTGCTATGATCCCGAACTTTGGATTACTGCTTCCGTCTTCGAGCTCGACGTCTGAGTCTGGTCCTGAGGTGGAAGGGTATTTACTAGGGTGAGAATGCGAACGAGGATTGGTGAACGCTGTCGCCGCCCAATTTTCGACGATACTTGCGGGTGATGTTGCAGGATGCTGCCGTGTGCTGGGCATCGACCGTAGGTCTTCCCATACGAGGTATCCATCGCAGAAATCACAGACAAAAGCGATGTCCTGATTCTCAGGTCCTAAGCGTTGAAAGATCCCCGTTGAATTGCAAGCGGCAATCTCGCCACTTGGTATTGAGTTCGGTTGTGTTGCTGACGCCGTGGGTATTGCTGGGGTCCCCCTTTGGGAGTGTTGTTGCCTTTGATGTGGTGGTTGAGAAGGGTGAGATTGAGATTGAGAATGAGAATCATGAAACTCTTGTCGTTGCTGGCGCCGCCACACGATTAAGGCACCTAAGCACCGCGGCCGTGAAGACGATGACTCGAGGTCATCGTGAATGCGCCGCACCGCTCGACATTGTGCGCGGTGTAGCTCCCGCCTTAGCCACCGTGTCTCGGCTGGCCATTCAGGTTCTATAGGTCCACCGGCCCGTACCCAATACTTCAAATTCTGTGAATGCTCCTGGAAGCGAGAGCATAGTTCACGTAGTTCGTCGAGACTGTCGGCTGTGATATGTGGTTAGTTTTAAAGTATGAAATGTACGAAGCTTGTCTGCTTATACAGTAGTTGAGAGAATTGAAGTGTAAGCGTCGCAAGAGAGGCTTTATAAAAAAACGAACAGTCGCTTGACTGATGTGATGTCTGATCGTCTTCTTGTTCATGAGCATTGTTCGTCCACCGAGTGATTACCTAACAAGCCCAGTGCGTCGGATAAGCGGCAAGCACAAAGATTTCTGTCAAAAAACAAACGAACGATGCAAACATACCCTTGCGGTCATTCTCGTAGTAGAAGCGCCCATTGACGAGCGCTGGAAGCTCCTGAAAATCCCGTTTCGCCTCGTCGAGCGCCTCCTCGAGTAGGCGCAACTGCTCGAACTCGGGCGGCCCCCACGCCCGTTTGTCGGCGAACATGAGGACACGCAAGGCATCCTGGATCGAGTTTGCGATGATAGCGAGCAACGATCCCACCGTGTCGACGACGACACTGCCGTCGCTACTCATGTCCGAACATGCACAATGATGCACGAGGACCAAGCAATTGGCGACGATGGCAGCCAGAGGGATTCTTGGCTCCCTCTCCCGTCTTCTCGTCTCTTGCGCGTCGCTTCCTCCTCGCCCTCGTCTCGGGAACAGGATCTGCAATTCAGATCTCCGAATGCAGTATATGTACGTATACTCCAGTGATGTGTTGCCGTACGTGATGACGCAGGCCACTACACATGCACTCGTCGCCAAAGACACGGAGGTACACTCGAGTACGTACCTAGATATCGCACTCTAGCACTTCCGTACACTACCTCACTTTCTGGCTCGACGAGTGGGGGCCCAAAGTCCAGGGACGATTTGCGGAAGAGATAGACAGGACTTGGGTAAGCTAGCACGTGGGCGGGCGGCCTCAGTTCTTCTAATAATAGCTCTGCTCTGAAGTGAGCTTTTCGTCTCTCTTATCGCGCTGAATGGAGAAAGATGAATTCGTACAGGCAAGGTTCGACCGCACAAGGAGTATGGCTTAACGCAGACTTGTAGTTGAGATGTTGAGACTTGGGCAGAGTAGATGGACATCGGCAAGTTGTCTCAGTCGTTAGATATTGTTTCCAAATCAGTGACCAGCGTTTCTGTTGGTGATACATGGGGACTACCTAAGGTAAATAGGCAAGTACCGTATCTTACAGGCGACGGGCCACCTAGGTAGTACAGCTGTAGGTAATCTACTGCATGTAGCAGGTATAGTACGACGTGCGTGCATCCACTGCCCCCAATTATTAGGCACATTTCTGGGTACACTACCTGCCGCCTGCTGCTTGGACAGCTGAGGCACATCCCCACTTCGTACACTACCCAGTGTAGCCTTAGTACCTACCCTTAGTCTGTCTTAGGTAAGGTAGCTACGTCGGAAGTAGTTTAGCATATCTACTACAGTTACATGTTTTTCGGTTCTGGCCGTTGAAAAACAACCTAATACTACCTAGGTACCTACAATAGGAACATTAGTGTTTTAGGTAGTTACCTCTATGTAGATTAGGTACATAGTCTATACAGGTAGGGCTATCCCTGGCCGGTAGACTTATCTGTACGCGGTGATGCCTTGATGTAAAGCGTATACTACATCATAGATAATAATAGGCAAAGAAAACGACTGTTCATTACATCGGAACCACAGAGATATCTTTTTATAGATACAGCGGAGTGGTTGCCCGTCCCTACATTACCTAGCTAAGGGTACAAGTCGGATATCGGCCTGAGTGCCAAGCGCGATAGGGCATTGGCATCCAATCCAGCCGGGTAGCTGGACACAAACACGTCAGCGGTCGATCCGAGTGCCTCGGCCTACTGTACATGATCTGTTCAAGTTGAAACGACGAGGCAGATTCCTGTTTGTATACTAAGGGATACGATACTATGAGGGTAAACAATCATCTCAGATGATTTGTCTAAGTCTCAGCTGACTAAACCACGTGTTATGATACAATTTGGAGGGTCGCTACGAGTGAAGCACCTGGAACTTAGATGCCCTTACTTCCAAGGTTGTGTTAACAGTTAGACACAGAAAATAAATGAAGACATTAATAACCCTACTACAAATGAATTGCCATACACAAAAACAGAGTCGTTTATCCATTAGCGGTTTTCACAATAAGTTATATAAACATTGTCGATGTAGAAATCTATGTAGTTTTATAAGGTCCTCTATAATCCAGTAGATCTGATAAAGAAAAGTGAGTGGAAAGCTCCGTGTGTAGCGATACATCGCCAAGATGTGTTAGAACTAGCTTACGCACAATGCTCTTCGCATGGTAGATCTACTTTTTCTGTCCATTCAATACAGTGCGGCCTTATATTAGTTTCACATATATCCACAATGACCGGAACCTTTGAGTCTGACTTGGTTCGGGACACCTAGAATCATGGCCTGGAAAAGAACCTCATGCTCAATAGTATCTTCGAATGAGCAGGATGTATAATGCAACTGTCCTATAAAAACGTGAAATACCCTGTTGGTGTTCTTTTAAGCCTAGAGGTCCTAGCGGCAGGTCTAATTCAACTAGACATCAACTATAGGGAGAGGAGAGAGCCAATCTATCTCATATGTTAAAGTCCTCTTAAAATCCCGTGTCTCATGACCGGTTTTGTTTTCTGATGGTCTTATATATGAGTACGTGGCTTCCAATTGCGTCTAATTAGATTATCCGAAATATGAGCTTGTTTTAGTCCGGACTACTATCCACATTCCACATTTGAATCAGCAACAAACCCATGATAGTGCAGTTATTTTTACAGCTTGTTGCCGAGAAATCGTACTTAATTCGAGCTGAAGTACGGTGACCATGAGAATTATGAGACGGTGCATGTGAATGTGGGGCATGAAGATCTGAGTGTGGAGGGCAAAACCTTGAGTGGTCATAGCAACCTATTAACAATTGCCGTTCCATCTCTCATGGTGTTATAGTATAGTGGTTAGTACAATTCGTTGTGGCTATCGCACTGCTCAGCTCCGAATAGACCCAGGTTCGATTCCTGGTAACGCCAATTCTGAATTGAACTCAGATCTATATATTCTTTTTCTTTTTCTTTCAAAGATTGCTACCTATGCCTTTCATCCTCTATACAATACAGTACTGTGATCTTAATACAATTCGTTGTGACCACAATAGAGCCTACCGAATTGTAATGCGCTTATGTATTGTATGTATTCCACTTTTCAATCACCCCAAATACGTGATTTGTTCTAATCCGTGGAATTGAGGTAGATGCTATCGAGAGACAAAGACTTCAATATGGACTTACCGCTTTTTAACGGCCTTTGGTAAATGGAATATGGGAGTGATCTTTCAAGGTTCTATATTAGTTACGTATAGACTTGCTTGGGGAGGTGTTGGCTTGTGATCAACTATGGTAGGATGAACCGACCGATTTTGCTATTGTTGCGAAGTGTAGTACCTATATACTGCTAATCCGTTTAATGGGATTAACGGCGTTGTTTCCCCGTCACAGCTGCCTATCAGCAACGGAAATGAGGGAAATGGGTTTACTACAGTTCATTCAGTTGTTTATACCCGTAGTCGAAATCTAAATAGACTGATCAGGGTGATTGTCTACCAACTTCTGACTCATAATGCTATGTTATGCCTCACTCCTGGCAAGATATGTACAAATAGCAAATTAACCCGCTCACAACGGTTACTTCACTCATATGCGGGGTAGGTCGTGATCCCACTTCTCCAAGGCATGCCAAAAGAAATTCATCATCAAAAGCTTACACATAGGACCCCCTGATACTTTCGTTTTATCGTCACATGTTTCCGATGAGCTGAGTCCTCGCTTCTAAGGCAGCATCGTTAACATTGTATCTCTCATTGAGGCGTCACGTCTCGCATAAGCATCTACGCGCCGCCACTTTTCATGCGGCTTCTTGGGCAGGGGTATTTGCGTTTTGCCCATTCGCACTATTAGAAGGCCTTGCGCTATTGTCTGAAAGATCGCCATCCAAAGAAGTTCGACGGACCTCGGGACTAGCTGTGGCAGGATTGTGATTGGCGTCGTCTGATCCTGCCTGGGCTGCAGCCGCGACAGCCGCTTGAGCTTCTTGTTGCCGTTGCCTTTCGGCTCGAGCTTCTGCCTCTACCTGGGCAATGTGCCTTTCGGCCAAACCTGGGGCGAGACTAGCAATGAAGAGAATACCAGCACGCTCTAGTCGTCTCGCCTGATTCAACAACCAATTGGCATTATCTTCTCGGCGCTGTTGAACTAACCTGGCTGCAGCATCGGCCGGATTTGGGTCTCTTGGTCTTGCGGCATTCGCCCCGTTGACATCACCGCCCTGAGCATTTTCAGCAACCGGACGTTGCTGATGGCGGCCTTGTGCGTCCGCCGCGGCGGGTATCAGGTTCTCTAAATGGCGGCGCAGGGGAACCCATATTTGCTCAGCGACAGGATTTAAAACTCCAGTGTTTATAATGAACAAGGTAATGGCAATTGAAACCACCGTGATCCATCGGTACCAACTAGATGTCGGCGAGGTAAACCACCATATAAACAAGGCCAAACGAATTATCATCCATATATGTGGCCAAATTTGGACTAACCTGATGGCTTGAATTTGAGGGTTATCCATTCCATGACCGAATTGTGCTTGTATTGGGCCTGGCACTTGTAGTTCATGCTCTCGCTGTAGTTGAGGTTGCTGAACGGGCGGTGGATTGTTTTGAGGAATCGATGCGTTTCCACTACCCAAGGGAGGCCGTTGAACGATATGTGGTAGACCAGCATGCCGCACATGCGGAGCGATTCCTGAGGCGTTGCCGAATGTCATGGGTGGAAGAGGAAGCCCCATTGGCTGATAACTACGGAGTTGAGAACTATAATACGTCCCTAGGTTGCCATTTAACAAGACAGCACGAGGGCCGTTTGGCGATGAGAGAATATACACTTCAGGTGTTGGTGAGGACACTTGGTTTGCATGAGTCCCAGCAGAAGCATTATGATAACGTCCGATTGCTCGTAGGGGATCGGGGGTACCTGCTGCGCTTCCAGCGCGTGATGGAATAAGCGGTGTAGTAACCCCGGGCGGGATGGGCTGCTGGCCCTGATGGCTCGCTAAATTCGCTAACGAAGAGCTGCTAGCATTCCTTCGCATAGCGTCAACCATAGCACGCGTTGCAGGTCCTGCATCTACTGCGCGGAAAGCATTCTGAACGTCATAGCCTCCCATTGGTCCTACACCAGGCACCGATCGAGGCTGCGACATTGTGGGAGTGGGTACTTCAACTGAGGAAAGGGGAGAGCCGGCCCTTGCAGGTCTCTGTGACGAAGTAATTATTGACTCATTGACAGTAAAGCGCCACCGCTGCCCATCCGGGCCAACACCTTCACGGACAACAGTACGTGTAGTCTCGGGTTGAAATGGCGACCCTGCTCTGCCTGGTGTTGTAGATCCGGGGCCACCCCGAGTCTGCGTGCCAGGTTGGCCCATCGAGTTCGGCCCCGCTGGTTGATTCTGATTTGTAAGCCCTAAACGAGCCATCGTTTGAAACTGGTTCTGTAAGAGTTGCTGTGTTGACCAGCCAGGTGGCAGCTGAGTACCATTTTGATTCGGCGGTTGAGTGAAGCCGAAGGCGATATTAGGATGCGGAGGTCCGCCGATACCCATCCTGACGTAGGGCTGGCCATGGTGCTGATGGGTGTGCTGGTGTCCTGGGGTTTGAGAGCGGGAGGTTGCGTGTTGGTTGGAAGGGAGTGGAGGAGTCGGAGTCGGCGTCGGCTGGGTCTCTGAAAGATCGCGCAAGACGAGATGTAGAGTTTGGCGATCTGAAGATCGAAGCTAAACAACGAAGGCGTTATTACGTATGTCTCTGCGAAAATACAGTGTTTGACCTACCGGCTCCTCGCCAAATAACTCAAGCATAGTCTCGGAGTCCCGCGCCAAAAGTCGCCCTCTGTGGATGAGTCGCTGGGCGTCATCTGGGGGCTTCGTGTTGACAGCATTCCGTATCCGTTCTTTCAACTGCCGAACTGTTGCTGTGATGGGGAGGTCTAGGAATAGAGGTTGGGGTACGTTGACCGAGGGCGAAAGGACCTGCAGAGTGAACTGGCTGGGCTCTATGGCCTCGGACGCTGGGGACGTGGCCGGATCGGACATGGTTGTGGCAGTCGAGTATAAGCACGAGGACGGGGTATGATCTATAAAAGACTACGACCCAAAAACGTTGCTTATCAAACTATCGGGAAGCTCGAAAGGCAAGATTACCACAAGTAGAGAGGACCAGATGTGGTGGTGAGCATGTTAGGCAAAATGAGTCCTAGACAAGTTGCGACTAAGTAAGGGAGCGCATCGGATTTGGCCAAGGCGGATATAAATGCCACAATAGCTAGGCTCGGAAATAGTAGTACGGAAAGAGGGAGTCCGACGGTAGACAAGAAGCAGGAGAAGAAGCATACAATCCAACAACAAACAACGCCGTTGGCCTGATGAAGTTGTTGATAAGCTGTGGTGGTCTCGCTGTCCTTAAGAAAGTACCTGGCATAGGTACCTTACGAGTGCGGTAATACCTACCTAGGTAGGTACTATACATAGTAGGTAAGTAGATATGCATCGATCACCCCACACACGCAATGGTAGGGGCAACGGCCATAGGATTCATGGTATAGGTACCTATTCTTATATAATACATGGCCTGTACTCTGTATTGCGTACCTCAAATAGCCAAGCTAGGTCTAGCGTGTCGCCAAATCCACACTGCGAGAGACCCGTCTCTTTGGTATCTGCCCGCGTATACCGCCCAATTTCCTACATATGTATGTATACAAGGGGGAGGAAGCTAAAGCTGTACCAGCTGCGTCATTGGGGGAAGGATCGCGGCCCTTGGCCATTCTGGCTTGTTGCATCAGAAACTCTACGGGTACTTTTCATGTTTCTGCGTCTTCGTCCCCAATCCGCCTCGCCGAGAGCTTGCATGTCGGGATGTATGTCTTTTTGCGACTGGGGCCCTTCAAATCTTAACAAATTCCACAATCCAATTAGTTATAACCGTGGATTGCCTTCTGAGAGCACACAGGTTTCCGGGTTCTGATAATGGCGACTCCATCGACCATCTTTACTCGGGGACGAGTCCGCCTACGCTCGAGCATCGAACCACAATGTCTTTGTTTTCAGCCAAGAACACCCTGCCCTCGAGGGTCTACGCGTCAATTCGTGGCAAGCCAGAGGGCCTCGTTCCATCATTCAAGGCGCATATTCCAGAACCGAGATCGTTTCGGCTCTAGACTTCGACATGCCTTGAACGACACCAAGATCAAGTGGTACCCTATACCAGTAGGGCTAGGTATAGGATTTCTGGGGTTTATACAGTTTTATAAGACCCAGGTACGGGAAAGAGAAAGGCTCGAAAGGGAGGCATCCCAGGAAGAAGAGCCACGGCCTAAGAAACGGCCGAGGGTACGCCCAGATGGCCCATGGTAAACCGGCCGAACCCAGAGCCCAGTAATTTTCTTTTGCTTACACCCAATTGTGTACAGGCAAGTTCAAGTCATGTCCACTCTGCCTCTCAAGGCCATGTCAAGATTATGGGGTAAATTTAACGAGCTTACCATCCCCTATTACTTACGCGTACCTGGCTTCAAACTATATTCCTTCATCTTCGGGGTGAATCTAGACGAGGTCTCGGAGCCCGACCTCCACGTCTACCCCAACCTGGCCTCATTTTTTTATCGGACTCTCAAGCCCGGTGTACGGCCGCTGGATCCGGATTCAAATGCGTTGCTGTCGCCCGCCGACGGTCGGGTCTTGCAATTTGGGAAAATCGATGGAAATCATATCGAGCAGGTGAAGGGTATGACTTACACGGTGGATGCGCTACTAGGAAAGAACACACCAACGCCTAGTATTTCGAGTACGAAATCTGAACCAAATGCCGAAAGTGCACAAAAAGGGCGCGCCGGGAAAGAGCAACATGGTGATGAGGAGCTAGTCAAAGCTGACGAGGAATTCGCTCGTGTGAATGGCATCTCATACACAATTCCCAACCTACTCT